AAATTACAATAAGGGTATAAAAGTAATTTTAAGTAGGTAGGGACCAAAATCACTAAAAATATCTAAAATTCAAACATTGATGTACCACCAAACATTTTTAGACCAACACCACATAATTTTGACAAACACATGGACCATTTTTGCAATTTTTTTTTTTTTTTTTTTGCAATTTTTGGAATGATGGTCATTTTAATTTTAGTTTCAGTGCGGTTTTGGTCCCTGTCAGACTAAAAAGACTATAATAACCTTCTTATTATTTTTAAGAATTTTTAAATATTTAATAAATATTAAAAGAAGATGGACCCATCTCTCTCTCTCCTTATTTTTTTTCTCTCTCTCTTTCTCCCTCTCTTTCTTTCTCTCTCTCTCTCTCCATTACTTCCTATTGATTTTCTTTTCAGATCCTTTCCATTCACAAATCTTGTCCAACATAGGTGGATTGATCCGTGTGTTTTATACCCATGTGTGCCCAAGGTCCTAGTTTTAAACCTTGATGGATACCTCTTTCAGTGCTGCAAGTGGAGAATTTTTCCCTGGAAATCTTTATGGGGGTTGGGTTTGCCCGCTTTGCGGAGCTCAAACTCGGGGTGCACGTTGAAATATTGTGTGTAGGCTTCCGTTGAATCATTTTTTGTTTCCAAAAGAAATCATTTCCATTCTTCTCTCTACATTCTTTCTTATTCCCCACCAAAGAAACACCTCCACCATCCACCACAAACCCAAGTCGTGATGCACCCTTCATCCCGCCGATAGCCACCTATGTCAGCCACAACAATTTGTTGAAAACAGTCGACCTCCACATCAATCAGGCCATCCTTGCCGATTTGAGCATCACTCGACTCCCCTCAGCCCCAACATTAAACCCCCGAAGAAAACCTTTCAAAATCTCGCTGGAAAGTAGGTATGGCAGCCCCCTCGTCCCAACCTTATAGCCACCCATTTTAAGGAACTTTCAACCATCTATTTGCAGAACGAACACCACCATCGAAGTCTCCATGCAATCTTATTCAAACCTGCCTTCTCCACTGGCACGAGAGGCTTGTCATTTTCTTTTATCGGGGTGTGCATCACGGGGCTCCGTCGTCACGACCTTCTTCACTGCATTCTCCGACGATAGTTGGGTTGTTGGAGATGAACACCAAAACACCACCAGAAGATGTATGCCTCAGAGATGTGGGGCTTCTCTTACTTTTTAATTATTAAAATAGATAAGTATTAAATTTAAAAAAAAAGTGAAAGAAAAATGGCAAATAAATACATACAGGGTATTACAGTCATTTCATTTTTCGGATGGTCCAAACCGCAATGAAACTAGCTCAAAAGGACAATCGGTCCAAAAATTTAATGGTTTTGACAGTTATAATTATGTTTCTTGTATTTCGAAAATATAATTCTCATCAATAAGTATTATATTCTTAATTATATTCTTGTTAACTTAAAAGATTTATCCACAAAAGTATACCATAACACAAATGTTAATAGATAATAATGACGAGCAATCTTATAATTTTATGAATATTTGGTAAAAGAATCCTTTTAATTGCAGTATGCATACTATAACAAGTTGAGTACATCACTAACTTCAGTTATATGGATTTTGATTTTTTTTTCTTTTTAAAAATAAATTAATCTACTATTAAATTACCGCTTATCTTTCAACAAGACTTGAATAATTGAGAAAGTATTTCCTTACCATATAAAAATAAAATGCTGCAGTAAAATTGTAAGCTTAATAATAGTTGACACGATATAAATTAATTTAAAAATATTCATTAATAAAAATAAACCCATACAAAGTAATCCGGTTCGGGTGAAATAACCCAAATTGTCGACATTAGATAGAATTAGAGATGTTGACTGCTGTTTCCCGCATTGATATCTGCATGCTTTTAGGCATCTTGGCGTGAAAATTTTCACTTTTTCTTTTCCCAATAATTCATTTCAAAAACACATGATCAGCATTTATTAAATTATTGTTTTAATTTATTTATTTTTTCTTTTTTGAAAAGCAAATCTATTCTATTCTATTCATATATAACACCTAAATTTCCATCTATGTCTCTCACGAAACTTGAACCTTGACCTCAAGGAGGGAGGGCAACACCGGACACCGCTAACCTAGAAACCCTTTGGTATTATTAATTGGTTGTATATCTTGGACATAGTTTTTATTATTTTGATAAAATTAAATTGTTTAATTGATCATTTAAATTGGAAAAAAATTTGAACGACAACAAATATATATTAAAAACACGAAACCAAAAAACTAGCAAGGAGTTGGAATAAAAAGCATGTCAAGATAGGATTGGATTTTGTAACCACGCAATCTAATTTATCCTAACTTTAGAGTTACGATAACAAAACCAACCACAATAAGTTTCAACAATAGAATCAAATAACAAATGTTTTCTAGGCTTAGGATTACGAAAAATGGTTGTGTTCTGATAAGTCCAAAGCACCCAAATAACCACCAACAACACCGAATCTACTATGACTCGTACCATTATAGGATTAGGCCTAACATCCATCCAATCCACCATATCACCTATCGAATTAACGGAACGAATGTCCAATTCTAGTCAAAGCCCGACATGTCTCCAAATCTAAGATATTCATATATTTTTAATCGTTTTCATCAAAATCAAATTATTATTGTGATTTTGGATTGATTTGGTTTATAAATAAGAATGAATAATTCAAAAAATTGAATAACAATTTATTATTAGTTTATTTGTATTATAATTATTTATTAGTTTAATAAATTATTTTTTCTAATAGATTTAAAATGTTTCCTCTAATAACAAACTTTAATATGTATATTCTTTCAAAAGTTTTTTATCAACAAAATATTTAATTGTAATATATGTTTTAGTAGCTATTTATAAATTTTAAACTACAATTGAATAATTTGTTTTTGTTTCTTTCAGTGTTATAAAAATTCCGACTAGGCTCCGATTAGTCTCTAGGCGCTTCCCGACCGACTAGAAGACACCTATCGATTAATATCTACCTATAAAATGAGCAAAACAATGAAATTCTAACACTTTCAAAAAAAATTATCTTTATAGAAACTATTTGAGGAATGATTAGTGTTTTATTAATCATATTAACCTATTTTTGTTATGATATTAGTATTATTTACGTACTTTGTTATGATATTAACAATGTTTAATTTTTTTTTTAATTCAAAGAATTAGCAATTTTGGGTCCCTGATTAATGTCCACCTAACTGATTAATCTCTTAACCTCATTCCACTGACGAGCTAATGTCGCGCGTCTTTCACAACATTGGTTTCTTCTATAAAGTTGGTTAATATTCTAATTATATGTGGTCTTAAAATGTTCTGGTTTTTGAAAAGCGAATTATCAAACTGATCCAACTAAATTGTAATTTAGTTTGATCAGATAAGGATTTAAATTTAGTTTCGACTATTTGGATTCAGTTTTGAAAACTGAAATCAATTTGGATTCACTTTTGTAACGTCTGTTTTCCGGGTGGGTTTATTTATTTATTTCATGGAAATAGGAAAGATGATTTTAGGATGAAATTGACTTCACTACACAACCATGTGTTAGTCGCAACGCAAGGGGAGAATCTTGGCCGTGAGTCGCGATGCATCACCCGCTAACAACCTAAAAGCCTAAATCTCGGGATTTGAACATTATTTAAAGGCACTAACCCTTAAGGTTTTCTCTCATGTCGGTTGTAAACCTCCAAAAACCCTAGAAGCTTGAAACCCTAGCTTCCTTTCCTTTATTCTTGTGTTATTGGTGCCTTTGGTGTGAAGCTTGAAGAAAAAGAAAGTGTTTTCTGGTGAAGGAGAAGAGATATGATGTGTGCAAATGGTTACACCTAATTTTAAATTTATAACCTAACTACCTTAACTAACTACTTGCACCTAGGCAGTGTACCTAGTCAGACTATAGTATAGCTTTGGGTAAGTCGGGTGTCGATCACAGGGAACGGTATTGACTAATTAATCTACTTACTATTAAACTAACCTAATTATCAACAAGCTTTAAGTGGGTTTTATCCGATTTTGCAAGATCAGACTAACTTAACTCAAATTCAATCAATAATTAAAAACACTCTTGTTTAGTTCGAATCCACTTCTTCTTTAAGGTTAGCTAACAATTATGGATTATCAAGTTGGTTATTATTGTATTAGTAATTTAAGTCTAAACTTACCAATATTAAACTAATTCATGTAAAACTATGTATGGTCACACACAATCAAACACAGAACCATGTAAGATTATGCAAACACAATTATGGTCATAATTTATGTTCTCTAGCACAGCTAACTTTAATTACTTTAATTACTATCTAAGATTGGTCAATCCTAGCTCTAGCAATTTAATGTTCACTAAATCACTAGGTTTCAAGTTCATGTAATTTAATAATCATTAAGCTACACAGAACATGAATTCAAGCAACTAAAGAAACAAATATTAACATGCTAGGTAATAATAATCAACACAAGCAAATTACCAACTAAGCAAATCCATTATCAATAAGCTAAACCATAAGTCAGAAGTTTCATCTAGCTAAACAAGAGTAGCTAGATTCAGCTGCTCATAGCAACAAATAAGCAAACAAAAATCATAATAGAAGTCATAATGAGTGTACCAAACAATTAAACTATTGATGTACTCTTCTCTTCCTTGGTGGTAAAAACCCTATTCCAGCACTTCTTCCTAGGGGTGGCAAATCGGGCAGTCGTTCCGTGTTTTTATCTAACACGACACGACACGAATTATTTTCCCTCAACCCGAACACGACACGACACGATGTCGTGTTTATTTTCGTTAACAAGAACACGAAAAAATAAAAAACACGAAAACACGAAAAAACCGATAACACGAAATAATTTACCAAAAAAAAATACAATTCCATAATGTCATTCATAGTTCTTGCAAAAAAGTTAAATTAAACATAATAAATACGCATTTAGTGACAGAAAATAACATAAAACGTCATTAAATATTGCTAAATGTCTTCAAGCTTGTGACTCCATTTCTTCATGTGTACCATTGGCATTGCTATCCAGCTTCATAACATCTTGTGTAAGATCTTGTAAATATAACTCTTTATCACCTACAAACAATATTAAAAACATATTAAAAAACATTAAATACTTTATACAAATGTTTCAAGAAGAATACAAATTACCTTTAATCCCAAACAACCAATCTTTTGCACAAATTAGAGCTTCAACATTTTCATGTTTCAACGAACTTCGATATTGATCAAGAACATGACCACCATTACTAAAGGCTGATTCGGATGCAACAGTGGAGACGGGGATGCTCAAAATATCTCGAGCCATGGAAGCAAAATATCTCTAATTCCCTCATACTCTACAAATTTAAAGGGAAGGTCGTGCTTGACAATTGCTTCACTAATAAGTTCACGAAATCTTTCGGGTTTAAAAACTGTGGAATTTATTGAAATGGAACCACCTGATTTTGCAAAAATGAATTGTGCTATGTCACTGTTGTCCCTTCTTGGACACTTTGCAATGTGATTTCTCAAGCTACCTGTCCTATTTTTTGTTTCACAAATGTATCTTTTTTTGCACTTATCACATTCAGCCCTTTCCCTACCATCTGTACCAATTGGAAGTCTGGTATAATAGTTCCATACCTCAGACCACCTTTCCCTTTCCATTTTTACACGATCTTCTTCACCATCTACTTTAACATCTACCTCCACAACATCAATGTCATTAGCTTCTTCTTCAAGTTCAACATCCTAAAATAAAAAAGGAGGGTCTGTTTTCAGAAATTATATAATTTAGATGGGGAAAAGTTTAAAAAAATAATGAAATACCTGAGGAGCTACAGCTGCAGAATGTGTATCTGTTTTATCAAGCTTTGCCTTTTTTTTATTATGTGTTTTATCAAGCTTTGCCCTCTTCATGTCGATTTCTTATCAAACTGTTTGAAATAAAAATTGGAAACAAATATTTAGAAGAAAGTTGTAATATGAAACTAAGAAAGCAATCAAAAGCAAAATATGGAGTGTACAAATTATATGAACATGATTATAATTTTAGATACTTTTATATTAGAAGCTGTAATATGAAACGAAACAAGTTTATTTAAATAATAACTAAATTCAGAGTAATCAAGAAGACTAGAAGTATAAGTAAAATCAAGTATCTCAGAAGCAAATATGGAGTAATGCAAGAAGTAATCAAGAGACAAGATGTATACAGTTTCTCCTTGTCGCAAAATTAATCAAGAATTATCAATCCAACAATCAAGAAGCTAACGGAACATGAAAAAAATTACCTTTCTTGCGTCGATTGTGGTTGAGAAGCAATAAAGCAAGTATACGAGTCGATTGCGATTGTCTGAACAGCTGAACCAGAAGCGAAATTTGTTTAGTAAGCGGTTGTGTTTGAGAAGTGAGAGAAGGAAACGGCTAGAGCATTTAGGTTTTGCGATTGCCGATTGTCGACTTGTCGTTGAGAGATTGTAATTTAAAAACCAATAATGAACTCGAGAATCCTTTAATAGAATCGATTACGTATGGTCTGCAAATAACACCGCCATCAATGGTTTATGGTCTACTGTGTATTGAGAATGGGGAAATGGAAAATGCCGATTAGAATTTCTAAGTGTCTGTTGGGGTTTCAAAGAAGCCGATGGAAATCCCTAGCTTATGAATCATTAATTTTTTAATTAGTTTAATGCATAAATTTAAATACCTATTATTATTTTTTTATTAAATATCTAATATTTAATAAAGTGTAAAATGAAATTATCGTGCTATTATCGTTTTAGTATCGTTTTATAGTCGTGTTTCATTTCGTTTTAATACCATGTTATAGTCGTGTATATATCGTGTTTTAGTCGTGTTGTTGTCCTTTCTAATTTCAAACACGAACACGACACGACATGACGTCGGTTTTTTTAAACAACACGAACACGACATGAACACGAATTCGAATTTCGATTTCGTCCCAATTTCGTTTCATGTCGTGTATTTTTTTCGTGTCGTGTCGACTTTTGCCACCCCTACTTCTTCCCTTCTGAATTTCGTCTCCAGGAACCCTCCAAAGCAGCCAAAAGTCTCCCAATTCGTAATGGCCAAGAGTTTATATCCTTTCCCCAAAAGTCGTGATTCACGTTGTGACAGGAAGCTTCACGTCGTGAATTGAGAGTTATCCATATCGGGCAAGGATTCTTGCTTCGCACGTACTTATCTTCTGGAATATTCATGCCACGTCGTGGGCTTATGGTTCAGGTCGTGACACCGGTTAAATCTGTGAATTTCTTCAACTTTTGTACTCCAAGTCTCCAATGTTCCAAGTATTGTCAATTCTGGTCCCTTTCTTCGAAAATGCTCTACTTTGACTGCAAATAACAATTTATCCTTATAACTACCATAATTCTATGCAAATAACAAAAATTATTAATAAAAATGTAATTAAATATTGCCTAAAAATATGTATAAATATGGCAATATCAAAATACTCCACACTTATGCTTTGCTTGCCCTCAAGCAAATCTGATTATTTTTAAATTAAACATTTATCACCAATATCACATAGAACGAACCAACTCAAACTCAACCATTATGTCAAGACCTCACCGCGCGCATTTGTGTCTAAAATGTTTCCTAAGTAACCCCCCTCAATTCTAAATACTCACAATCTTCATAAACACTCGCCCACTTCTTTTGAACAATGCTCATTTTATGAATCCCTCCGAATCCATCCGCAGAAATCTTTTTAACCTCAAGGTATTTTTGTAAAGCCACCCAAGCATACATAAACTAGAGAATTACAACTTTAAGATACCACAATGGAGCTCTTGAATTCTTCTTTCTTTGACATTTGATCTTCAGTTTGTACTTTGAATTCATCACCTTTTTGTGTGATTTTTGGTATCTTCTACTTTTGATTTTTCTTCAGAATTTTTGATCTTTGATCTTCAAACTCTAATACTTCTATAGCTCCAAAAATTCTTCAATTTTTCACTTTTTTGGTAATTTCTCTCTCTCTTTTTTTTACATGTACTCACTTTTTCCACTCAAAACCCTACATGCTTAAGCAAGGGCGCTTAACTTCAACCCTTATTGGTTAAGGTATTAGTTTTCCTGGATACATTTCAAGTACAGGCTGCTAAACATATTGCATCTTTCAAACTAAGCGAGGTTGTGTTTTTGTCCCATGATTTCACTAGAATAAAGGAGGCCACAAATCCACTATAACGTATATCGGCTCAACTAAACATTTGAGCTCTCATCGGATCATCCCAGGCAACACAAGCAACTTAAGTTTAGATTATCATAACTACGAGAATTTTTTATTTAGATTATTATTTCAAATCTGTATCCAAATTTTTTTTAAATTTACTAAATTCTAGCAATTTATTTTTTCAACCTAAGCAATTACTTTTTCGACCTCCTACCCCACACTTATTACATACATTGCCCTCATTGTATGCATAAACTAAATAAAAGCAATAAAGGGGAGAAAAAGGAACAGACTCCCCTGGGATAGTGGCGTGATGAAATGTGCATCTCGAATATGGACTTCTTCTAAATCAGAACTTGGACCTTGAACTCGTGAAATATGTGAATGAGCCAACAAGCAACTAATCGAAACTTTGATCTTCAATAAAAGTGGTGCAAATCTCCAAGGTGTAAATAATAATGTGGTAAAGCATACGCCACATTATACGATAAAGAAAACGAGCCATAATTGTCTTCATAATGATCCCAAGAAGAACCATGGCAAGCCAAAAAGTAAAATGCATCAATGGATTTTAATTCTTTGAAAAATTGGAAATCACGTCGTGGGTAGAATAGCCACGTCGTGGTTTCGCATAACAGCACGTACTGCATATATCCAGAATACCGGTTCACGACGTGAAATGATAACCACGTCGTGAAAACTGAGCACCCAGAAAATAAAACTTCCCACGTCTTCATTCAACTTGGAATTTTAACTAATGTCTTGTCTTAATTTGTTAAGACTCGTCTCATTCAGTATTCTAAAGACCCTTGTTGACTCCATCCTCTCTTTTTGACGCACCCCACACTTATTTCCAATTGTGGGTCTCGACTTGTGACTCTAGACTCTAACCCGACTCTTGGCTAGACGTAAACGCTTTTGACTCGACCTTCCTTACCGAGACTCCATTGCAAATCTGAGATAAACCAACCAAAGGACAAATAAAAGTAACATAATAGTTTAACAAGTCTTACAAACCATAACAAGTTTAAAAACCAAACAAAAACATAAACCAAATCAAACTAAAATAAAGTAAACAAAACGCATCAATCATCTTCATGAGCTCCACTAGTTCCCGCTCCATCTCCCCTTGGCATCCAAAGCTCTTCCCACGTTGGAATGTACGGGCATTGAGGTGGCACGGAAGGTGGTCGAACCACATTCATATGAGAAAACATGGTTTCAAGAAGTTGGGTGTTATAAGTCATCCCACCGTGACGATTATCCAAATAAGAACCAACCTGACTTTGAAACGATTCGGTGGGAACTCCACCCTCATATTGTGGCGCTGTTTGACGTTCTCTCTCCATGTCTCCTCGGGCCCTAACATTCCGCCTTTTGGGCCTCGGTGGAGGTTGTTGCTCGGGCGCTCCATTTGTTGCTCACCATCCTCCGGGGGTATCACATAGCCGCCCCCAACATTCACCACCACCCTCATAATACCCAAAACTTGAATTGTCAAATCATTATCCGGAAAGCGGGTAAGGTTCCTAATAAAATTAGGAGTCAAAATGTTGTAAGACCGGGCAAGGAGGGTGACTAGATGTCCACCCGTGATCGGACTCCCTTGCCTAGAACCGGCCGCTTTCTTCCCCAAAAATCGTGCAAGCATGTAGGGAAGATCACAACAAATCCCAGGTGTGATTATGCTCCACAAGTAAAACAAATTCTGGATGGAAACCTTATCGCCATGATACTTGTGATTGATAGAAAAAGTGACAAGGCGATGAAGGAATCGATAAACAGGATTTCGAATTTGTGCCTCACGAGAATTATACTCGTGATTTGAGATAGTCCTCCAAAATTGGACATCTAAAGTTCCGGGTGTAAAATCTCGAACACATCCAAACAAGAATGGCACAAAAAATGGTGATTGAGTTTCCACATCCGTGTATAAGCCCATGCGCCATGCGAACTCGCGAAGACTGCACTCGCGATAAACCCCACCTAAACGGAAAACAAGCGCCCGGTTGTAATCAAAATCCATAGTCCTTTCCTCAAAGTTTACGGTAGCGAAAAACTCTACCAATAATTCCCGATAGACGGGCTCTTGAATAGTGAAAAGATTCCTCCATCCATTGCAAGTAAATGTAAAGCCTTCTTCTTCAAACACCTTTGTCCAATATCGCTCCAATTCCAATACCATGCCCACACCTCGTAGCCATCTCCAATCCACAATGGGTGCTATTACAAACTCTCGGTTATAAAGCCATCCCAGCCGGTTTTCGTAATTTGTCAACAAAGCCCGAGATAAATTTTGCGGAAAACGATACAACGGGTGAATGCTAGCCACATTAATCGGGTTATCCTCCTGCTGGACTGCCCTTCTAGGAGCCATTTGCCTGCATTGACCAAAAACAAACGAAACAAAACATCCAAACAGTTTATTAAAAAGCGAAGCAGGATACTGGTCGCTCAGGGTTCACGACGTGGTCTAGCTTTCCACGTCGTGGAGCGCAGTCGGGACGTGATACTGGATCGAGCAAATTTCAATCAAAATATGTCATGTATGGTACTTGGGGTTTGATTATTCTATTCAACTAAGGTCATGCATCCAGAAAATTCCAACGAATTCAACCAATTTTAGGATTTTTAATTCCTAAGTAAACCCTAACCACCCAAAATGCATAAAATGCGAACAATAGCAAAATTAAGGGATGAAATACTTACCAAA